AATCATTTTCCCTTTTTTTCCAACAAATTTTCCCAAAAGCATTTTCAAATTATTTTTGAACTCATTTGAACACTAATTTAAGAACAATCATCACATGAATAAATAGTGCAGCAGCATGTATGCATCAAAAGTTCAAATCTTATAATTTATTTTAATCCCCCAAAATTATTAATTTCCTATAATTGAGTGCACACTTAATAACATAATTAAATCAAATTTACTTAATTTAAAAGAATGAAATATTTTGGGTGTTACAATTACGGCAACAACAACTCTTAAAATAAGAATACATCTAGTAAACTACTAAGCGCGTTCTACCCACTAAAGTGCTAAGCTACCTACTGTTACCACTAACAAGTAAGAAGCATGTCATAGATTATTATAGCAACTACAGGCATTCTCACTCCTAATGCTGATTTACGCTACATATGATAAAGCAGGGATAATAGCTACTCTATTTATTAACCTACTCTAAGGCTACAAAATTTACAGCAAGTAAATAATAATCTAGTGAGCCTACTGTAAAACTTTTATAGCTATAGCTATCACCAATTTACCACAAAAATTCCTACAATTATTAATCTATAAAATACTAAGCTTTTCTAGTTGAAATTTATAAACCTATCATTGCCATAGCTAACTGTAATCTAACTACACCAACAGGTGGATGGTATTTTTGCAAATCTAACAAACTTGGTTTCACTATTTTTGGGCATCTACACGATTTACTATAATTTATTAAAGTTCAGCTCAAACTATTATTGAATAAACATTCACGAATTTATTAGAAAATGAAAACTAATTCCTATCCCATGGCCTGACTCGAGCGGCTCAGCCCAACCAGGCGCAACACACGCGGGCGCACGACGTGGCCCACGCGGGGGCGTGGCCCAGCCGGACGACGGCCCACGGCGGGGAGGACCCGCACGCAGCTGGCTCTTTTGCGAAAGAGCCTCAGTTCCCTACCCTATTCGCAAAACTAACCCAAGCACTATTATGCCGAGTCATAGGTTTTTCATCTACCACCCTCCCCTTTCCCTTCTTCACCGCGGCGACGTCCCTCGGCACCCGTGCACGCACCGTCGTGACGGCGCGAGCATCGGGCGGCTACGCCGGCCACACCCGACCCACCAATTCCTATCTAAGGAGCCGATGCTCACATTGACATCAACGCGAAGCGGTTGGAGGCGATACGGCGAACGGGGACGCTATCCCGTGCTCCCTCCCCGGCGGTGGACCTCTCCCTGCGCCGACAGACGCGTTCCTGTGAGCCAAAACTCAGACAGTGTGAACCAGCTCACGGATAGGCGATAGAGACTCACCCCGTGCCAATCGGTCATGGTGGCTTGACCGGAGACTGCTCGAATGGACCTAGCCACGTGCACCTAGCAGGCCTTACGACGGCGGCGATGGCGCAACTACGGTGGCAGCGCTGGGCAGGCCGCAGCAGGGCAAACTAGGGCGCGCACGTGGTAGAGTGGAGCAGGGCGAAGGTTCAATGCCAAGGAATTAGACAGCGGTGGACGTGGGTAAGGGGAATTTCACGGCGTTGCTGTGGGTCTTAAAACGACCGATGACGACAGAACCGTCCAAATTAGGCTTGGCAACGGCCGACAATAGCAGTGGATGTTTTTGGCATGTGGCTAAGTACTCACTCCATCCTAAGGCATACGCAATCTCACTGCTTTGGCCGACGCTGCGTGCTATCTCGGCGCGGCCCGGCGACAGAGGAGCAGGGGGAAGTAGGCACATCGGTTCGGCGCTGTCGCCGCAGAGGCTGGTAGGGCAGGGGAGACCGTGGCGTAGCGCGGTAGCGGACACGGACGTGCTGGCGAAGTAGGCAACCATCCCACGCGCGTGCAGCCATGGTGGGTCAACGAGGCCAGTGCCGGGCAGTGGCGATGGACAGTACGCAGCGCGATCGGGGTGCCGTGCGACGTGACGGCGAGGCAGAGCTACCAGGACCACCGGCGCAGTGCACGTGCATGCGTGCGTGATGTGTGCCGGGCAGATACGACCGATCGAGCTGCAGCGCGGAACCCGGCGGCAAGTCCGGCCAGTGCATGGGTAGGGCGCGGGCGGCGTCCCGGACGCGGCACGTCAACAGCGGCGGTGCGAACTGCGCACCAGCGCGTGGTGGCAGGCGGCCGTGGCCAGCAGCGCAAGGACCACACGCGCGGGCGTGCTTGCACAGGGGCGGGAGTGAGGACGCGGCCGGCGCGACGGCTCACGCTGGGCGGGCCAGCAGCGGTGCCAGGCCGAGCAGAGGCGGTGACCGCAGCCAACGCTGGCTCTGTTCAAAATATATGACTTGCACGCTTTTTATAGCTGTTGAAAAACTCTACCCGATGATCCCGTAGCTAAACTAGCTCTTCTATTCTCAAGAGGGTACAAAGGGCCATCGAGCTAAGCCAAAACATCTAGCCACTTTTTAACCCGATCGTTCTACGAAAAATGTCGAACACGGCTTCGTCGACCCATTTTCGGACTTACGCGAAATGACTAACTTCAAACGGTTTCACGTCGAATTCCATTCCTGAGCCACTCGATACACTAACTAGCGAACCCCGTCCTCGACCGCACGTATTTTATCGTCAGCCACTGAAGTTCGTACTACCGAGCTTTATCAAAGTTTTACATAAGCATTCTATAGCACTTTGTTCGATAAAAATTCACTTAGAACCCTAAACGGTATAAAGCGACATGAAATGTAGTGTTCGTTTCTTATTTCAGATGAACGTTTCAAGTACCGTACATTGATTTATACTCTATATTACACACAAGTATGATATTTATGCAATGTTTTAGCAAAACTGTACAATGTAATACCGAGGGTGTTACATGCACGGAGGCGCTTGGCAAGGTCGGAGGCGTGAAATTGGCCGCGACTGTGGCGTGATACCTGACGGTGAAAGTGCGGGAGGTGGAGAGGTGGTGGTGGGCGGAACACACGGCAGAAGGGCGGGGGCTCAAGCCCCTACCCATATATCGCAGCAGTGGAACCCCTGTGGAGTCCTTATGAATTTTAGGTAAAGTTCTATAGTGTAGAAATTTGAGACTTAAGATCGAACAATGGTGTTGTTCATTTCTCGAAATATTTTTTTGGTCTGTGTGGTGGCGGGACAGAAATGAAAAAAAGGGAAAGGAGAGAGAGAAGAAGAAAGCGGTTAGGGCAAAATGTCATTTCACCGCGGTTCTCTCTCCTCAACTGCCTGCAACCGGTCCGCGGTGTCCTGTAGTATAATTTCACCGAACCAGAGTGTTTTCTGGTAAAATATTCAAAACGGGGTGTCCGTTAGCTAACGACCTCACTTTGGATGTCCGCCAGACAATTGTCCGATTAAAAAAAGGAGACATCTCTATAAATCAATTACGTACTAGTGCATGTCTACGTAAAACAAAACATAGTTTTGCAAGAAAAAAGAATAATTATAGCCAGTATTCTCTCAGTTTATTCGAAATCAAATTTCCGGCTTTGATACTTAGCAATTGATTATATGGTCCCATAGTGCTAGTGTTGATGGATGAATTTATGGGTCATAGATGGACCGCACACACCGATCATTAGATCAAGTGCGCATCAAAAGAACATGTCTGTCCAAAAGAAAACGTACGTTTGCAATGAAATAGAATAATCCTAGCTTAGGTCTAAATTATAATTCAGTAAATTTTTACGTTTTCAGCTAAAACATCTTATCAAAACATGTGTTGAGTGTTTACGATCTAGTGTTAATTGTTTTTAACAATGAATACATAATTTGGAGATGACATAGCAAAGGTAGATGCTGAATTAGACTCCACGGTCAGTAAGTTTGAGGAACAGTACGATTTTCATTTGCAATTGCCTTTTTTTTTATCTTTTTGTCCTTTTAGTGATATATAAGAGCATCTTTAGGAGTTTAATAAAACAACTCTCTATTTTGGGGAAAAAGCAAAAAAATATCCTTCAACAGTTTAGTAAAAGAGCTCTTTAAAAATATAAAAAGTTGCTAACTATCCTCTCCAATTCAGTAAGTTTCGCAGTTGAGAAGAACTCTATATCCGCTCACCATCCAATATTTTCTCGGGAAGTTAAGAGTAAATTAGACGTATGGGTAAATTAAGAAAATAAATGATTCAATATGAGAAAACGGTGAGCGACAAAGAAACTATTAAAAAATATTTAGATGGTTAAAAATAGTTCGGGTCCCCATGCAAAATCATTTAGAAAGCTACTATACCAAACTGTTGAAGAAGGACAAAATTTAAGGTTGTTATATCTTCTGTTAACTTGCTAGATCTATTGGTTTAGAAAGTAAACTATATTAAACACCCCGAGATCTCTAATACTCCATCCGTCCTTAAATATATGTCGTTTTTATTTTCCGAGAAACAACTTTGACTAAATATATATTAAAAAATATTAATATTTATGATACATAATTAGTACCATTGATAGATATTTGAATTTAGTTTTTTAATAAATTTATTTAAAGATAAAAATGATACATATATTTTTTATAAATAAATCAAAGTTATCGACACGTAGATCGTGAGGAAATATTTACCGACAGAGCGGGTATACTCCCGTCACGAAATGCGACGATTTTCGTCTATAAATACCCCTCCAAATGTATCTTCGGTAGCCAGCTTCCACCACTAGTCCACTAAGGCCCACTCCCTTCCAACAATCTCGCTGCGCTGCTCCCTTGCTCGCTTCTCGCCACGATCCGATCCCTTTCATCCAGTCACATTGCATCCATCCCCACCGATCTCCAGCATTAGATCCGTCGCCTGTTATTTCTTCTTTCATCAGAAAATCAAATCATACTTGCAGAAAGATGAATATAATAATAAATAAAAAAGAATAAAGAGAATCTTGAATCGCAGCTCTGCTTCGCTCTACTCTTTCCTGGATCGAACCTGCGTTTTTAGTGAAGTTTGTGTGTTGAGTTGTTGCATCGAATCGAGCAAGTGGTGGTTTCTGGGGGCAGTGTGATATGGCCGAGAAGTTGGAGAAGATGGCGTCGATCGACGCGCAGCTGCGGATGCTGGCGCCGGCGAAGCTGTCGGAGGACGACAAGCTGGTGGAGTACGACGCCCTCCTCCTCGACCGCTTCCTCGACATCCTCCAGGACCTCCACGGCGAGGATCTCCGTGAGCTGGTAACATGAAATGTCTCTTTTATCCTTTCCTTCTATCCTGGATCCGCCTTATATGGTCGGTTGATATTCCGGATCAGGCTATTTGCACTGGTTTATGCGCCATCTTGTTATTTTATATAAACCGGAGGCTTGGGCAATATGGGCCAAGCTTGATAGACTGGATTAATAATTTGAGCTGGAAGTTATTCTAAAAAAAAAGAGAGAGCTGGAAGTTGGAGCTTACTTAGAGAACAACAGGGCTTTGGATGATTTCTCTGATTCCTCTCCTGGATGTTAATCTTTACTAGTAACCTTTTTTTCCAGAATACTATGTTATTCTTAGTGCTTATAGAGCATGTAATGAGGGCACTAAATGGAGTTGGGATGTTGACTTTACTTCCTGATACAACTTTTTTTAGAGAAAAGGTCTCCCCAGCTTTATTTCAGAGAAATAAAGCGCAAACGTGCAGGTACTTACAACGTATTCTAGGCGCACCTGCCACTTCCTGATATAAATTACTCTTGGAGTATTGTCTTGCAGGACTGTGTTCATTGGATTTGACTGTTTGATTGTGCAAGTCAAATTTGAGTTTATTTTGTTTGCGAACTGGAATGATAAACAAAATTTTGACTTGCTTAAACAGGCCTTACACAATTCTCCTGCATATCCCCGGGAAAGAAAAAATTTTGAAACACCTCAGTTTCCCCACGTAGAGAAAGGGAATAACTATGGTAGACAATTGTCCAAGAGTGATAACTGATATCGAGTTGATTTGAATTAACTCTTGCCAAGCTACTATTTTCGGAAAATAAATTGATTGGGTTGGTTGCAACCCTTGTGTATGCATATGAAAAGGACAATTCTCATTTGCCTTGTTGTGATTAGTCAGATAGTCAGACCTTAATCAGTTAATCTGTGTGCTGTTTTTACCATGATCTGTTAATATGATAGTTTCACCCTGCTCTGTAGGTACAAGAGTGCTATGAGATAGCTGCCGAGTATGAAAGGAAGCATGACTCAGAAAAGCTCGATGAACTTGGCGACATGTTGACCAGTTTGGATCCTGGTGATTCGATTGTAATGGCGAAAGCATTCTCACATATGCTTAATTTGGCCAACTTGGCTGAGGAAGTCCAGATTGCTTATCGGAGGAGAATCAAGCTCAAGAAGGGGGACTTTGCTGATGAGAACTCAGCACTGACTGAATCTGACATTGAGGAAACTTTTAAGCGGCTCGTAGTTGACCTTAAGAAGTCACCAGCTGAGGTTTTTGATGCTCTGAAGAGTCAGACTGTTGACCTGGTTTTGACTGCACATCCAACCCAGTCAGTGAGGAGATCACTGCTACAGAAGCATTCACGGTGAGTCAGAAAAAACGATGCCTTGAAATCTAACACAAATATATGAAATACTTCTGTTCTCTAACTGGCATGACTGAAAATATAAATCTAGGATAAGGAATTGTTTGGTTCAACTGTGCTCTAAGGACATCACACCAGATGACAAACAGGAGCTTGATGAGGCTCTCCAGAGGGAGGTAACACATTGAACCTATACTATGAGCATTAGACTTTTGTTTTATCTAAGGCAGCTCCTTGCCTACATGATAAATTTCTTCAGCTCTGATTTGTGCAAACTACGAAGCATTTGCTCATCTTATCAGCATATACAACGTTAATGTTGTCATTTATTCTGTTCCTGTATGCCACCTACGTTGGTACATTAATAATCCAAGTATTAACTTCAATTCATTATTTTCAGATCCAGGCAGCCTTCAGAACTGATGAGATCAGAAGAACCCAGCCTACTCCACAAGATGAAATGCGGGCTGGTATGAGTTACTTCCATGAAACAATATGGAAAGGTGTTCCAAAGTTTTTACGCCGTGTGGATACTGCCTTGAAGAACATTGGAATTGATGAGCGTGTGCCCTATAATGCCCCTCTCATTCAGTTCTCTTCTTGGATGGGAGGAGATCGTGATGGTAAACAAGAGACAGCTTAATAATGTTTCTGCCATCTCATTGCTATGTTATTTGCATCCTAATGCCTTTAACCAATTTAGGAAATCCAAGAGTGACACCAGAGGTTACAAGGGATGTCTGTTTGCTTGCCAGAATGATGGCTGCAAATTTGTATTGCTCACAGATTGAGGATCTCATGTTCGAGGTACAAATGACTGATTACTTAATTTTTCTTTGTTATACTTATATGAACTAATTGGCACTATGAAGTGACAAAATTTGTGCAATTTTTTTTCAGTTGTCTATGTGGCGGTGCAATGATGAGCTTCGGGCACGAGCAGATGAGTTACATCGCTCGTCAAAGAAAGATGCAAAGCACTATATAGGTACGTTGGATTAGCAAATAATACTGTTTGACATTTAGATTTTTTTTCTTCAGAATATCTGATGGTAGATGGCTACTTGGCTGTTCCTATTAACCATTGTTTCTTCTGTAACAGAGTTCTGGAAGAAGGTTCCTCCGAGTGAGCCATATCGGGTTATACTTGGTGATTTGAGAGACAAGCTTTACAATACACGTGAGCGGGCATGCCAGTTGTTATCCAGTGGATATTCTGACATTCCTGAAGAATCTACTGTCACAAACGTTGAGCAGGTCAACTATTGATCAAAGAATCTTTGAACTGCACCAGTTGAATAGTGAATTTTTTTCTTAAGTTTTTTGGATTGATCATTGATCTGAAAAACTGTTCACTTGCAGTTCTTAGAGCCTTTGGAGCTATGCTACAGGTCTCTCTGTGCTTGTGGTGACCGTGTAATTGCTGATGGAAGCCTTCTTGATTTCTTGCGCCAAGTTTCTACCTTTGGGTTGTGCCTTGTGAGGCTTGACATAAGGCAGGAATCTGATAGGCACACTGATGTCCTTGATGCTATTACCACCTACTTAGGAATAGGGTCATACCGTGAGTGGTCTGAGGAACGCCGTCAGGAGTGGCTTTTGTCTGAACTCAATGGGAAGCGTCCATTGTTTGGTCCAGACCTTCCCACTACTGATGAGATTGCTGATGTCCTAGACACATTCCGTGTGATAGCTGAACTTCCTGCGGACAACTTTGGAGCATACATTATTTCTATGGCAACAGCTCCATCTGATGTTCTTGCTGTTGAGCTTCTCCAGCGTGAATGTCATGTGAAGACACCACTTAGAGTTGTCCCACTGTTTGAGAAGTTGGCTGATCTTGAAGGTGCCCCAGCTGCATTGGCCAGACTGTTCTCAGTGGATTGGTATAGAGAAAGGATTAATGGCAAACAGGAGGTCATGATTGGCTACTCAGACTCAGGTAAGGATGCTGGTCGTCTCTCAGCAGCTTGGCAGCTGTACAAGGCTCAGGAGGAGCTTATCAAAGTCGCTAAGCAATTTGGGGTGAAGTTGACCATGTTCCATGGGCGAGGTGGTACTGTTGGAAGAGGTGGAGGCCCCACTCATCTTGCCATTTTATCTCAGCCACCGGACACAATCCATGGATCCCTCAGGGTCACTGTTCAGGGGGAAGTCATTGAACAGTCCTTTGGTGAGGAGCACCTGTGTTTCAGGACACTGCAGCGTTTCACGTCTGCTACTCTTGAGCATGGCATGCATCCACCAATTTCCCCAAAACCTGAATGGCGTGCTCTGCTTGATGAGATGGCTGTTGTGGCAACAAAGGAATATCGGTCCATTGTCTTCCAAGAACCACGCTTTGTCGAGTATTTCCGCCTTGTGAGTACTTCATTTCATCTTCATCAGATTGTTAAATGTAGATTGTGATGTTCTGATGATTTACTGTGCAAATGTTCGCATGGAGGATTCTCATGTTACTACTATCTACTATATTATATTTTCTCCAACACTTAAATACATGAAGGTTAAACATACAATACACTCAAGGCACTGAGCAAAAAAGAGTGGATTTCTTAGGTGGACTCTACCTTTAGCATGAAGTTAATTTTATTTATAATGATAATGTCAACAGGCAACACCTGAAATGGAGTATGGAAGGATGAACATAGGGAGCAGACCATCCAAGAGAAAACCAAGTGGTGGGATTGAGTCTCTACGTGCCATTCCATGGATCTTTGCATGGACACAGACACGCTTCCACCTCCCTGTCTGGCTCGGTTTTGGGGCTGCCTTCAGGCACATCCTGGAAAAGGACATTAGGAACCTCCACATGCTTCAGGAGATGTACAATGAGTGGCCATTCTTCAGGGTGACAATTGATCTAGTTGAGATGGTATTCGCCAAGGGTGACCCAGGCATCGCTGCCTTGTACGATAAACTCCTTGTTTCTTCAGAGCTCTGGCCTCTTGGGGACAAGCTGAGGGCAAATTATGAAGAGACCAAACGTCTTCTCCTTCAGGTTAGTGTGCCAACTAAAAAAACACTGTATCCATGTCCAGTTCATAAGACTGAATCCTTGTCCAATTAACAGAACAACAGTGTATGCAGTTATAAGAATCCTCTATTGTCGTAAACTAATGCGACTGGCTACTTAAAATTTCAGGTTGCTGGACACAAGGATCTTCTTGAAGGGGATTTATACCTGAAGCAGCGTCTCCGCCTCCGTGACGCGTACATCACCACACTGAATGTCTGCCAAGCCTACACGATGAAGCGCATCCGTGACCCAGATTACCATGTCACACTGCGGCCCCACCTGTCCAAGGAAATCATGGACTGGAACAAGCCTGCTGCAGAGCTCGTGAAGCTGAACCCGACCAGCGAGTATGCGCCGGGGCTGGAGGACACCCTCATCCTTACCATGAAGGGCATTGCTGCTGGGATGCAGAACACTGGTTAAGCCAAGAAATGACCTTAAGTGTGCCTTGAATCTGATCATTTGCTCTCGGCCCAATATTTTTGCCGATGTAGCTGCTTCTTTGACTTTCCCCATTGGCAATAATGAATTATGTACCAGAACAGCAATACGGAACTTATTAATAATTCAAAGTTAAGTTTATATATTGTCAAATTTTTTACCGTGTTCATTATTAAGAGCTAAATTTGTTACTTGTTGCACCGTACTACCTTCATCCTAAAATATAAGGTATCAAAATTTGTCCTAAGTCAGACTATCATAAGTTTGACCAAACTTTTAGAAAAAAACAATAATACTTACAACTTCAGCTTAGCACCATTAGATACATTATGTAGTTTAATAATTTATCTCATAATGTGGTAGATATTAACATTCTTCTTTCTAAAGTCGATCATATTTAAGATAGTTTGACTTAGGACAAATTTTAATCTCTTATATATTCCAAGTCAAAGGGAGTATGAATTAAAGATTGAAGTGGAATATAGCAGAAACCTAACACAGGCTATTAAAGGCTTGTCGGAAACGCATATGGTAGTTATTCATGGCTGCATGAATCTCACTGCATCTTCTAACCAGTTTCATCTTCTTCCTCTTCTTTTCCTTACCATCTCCCAGCATCAGTCAAGTCAAAGGTCTTCAATATAGGTTGAGAATGCGTGGTGGTGAGCTTTGCTGCGCGAGCCGGATTGATTCCCGATTATTCCTTTTTTTTTTTTTTGAAGTAAGGATTATTCCTGTCTTCTTGTGCGTCGGTTTTATCCCAAAATCCATATTGTTCAACACGGATGTTCCACAATGCTTGAAGTAAGGTACCATGTAAGGTACCATTTATGACTTCGGGTACCTCTTAGGCTCTTAGCCATGCACGTGTCCCTTTAGGCATAAGCTATTGATCTAGCTTGTGCATATATATAGCCTTTGTGAATAAATACGTATGATTATCACAAAGGCTTGTTTTGCAAATTCTCTACTTCCCTATTCTTTTATAATTCATGAGGATAAAACAACTTTAAGAAATATATCTAGTAATATTGTTGTTGATATAACATGTTTTCATCTGCATAACACAAGCATCATAATCTTCAAAGACAATGGTTGGTGGCAAGTAGCTTGCTATTTCTCTTCTTCACATTCTCTTCATCTTTCTCATTTTTCCCCCTTTCTCTTCTTCAGCCATGCATAATAAATGTTAAGAGGGTTCCATTAGTTTAGTGGTGGCGAGAGCTGTGTGCTTGGGTTGAGGTTTTTGGTACTGGCTTAAGAGATCTTTGAGTTACAAGGCAGCCTTGAGCCTTGTACACCCTACCAATGGCAATATACGAAAGTGACCTAGCGTGGAGCTATCAGCGGATGTAGCGAGGCCTTCGTGTATTTGTTTTTTTCGTGGTGACTACTACAAGGCAAACTTAGAAGGGTTCGGATCTAGTGGAGTCATTCCATCGATTGAGGTGTGGTCCTATGGCAGCACTACGATAAAAGAGTTCATGCAAAACAAAATCTTTAACATTGTTTTTACTATATATCTAGACATGATGTATATCTAAATATATAGCAAAAACTATATACAACATTTAGAAAAGGTAAAACATCTTATAATTTAGAATGGAGGAAATATTATAACATTTTCATAGCAGTTAGTGTCCTATAGGATCAAGGGCCAACACTTCTATCCAAGTAACGATGTGATGTCTGGAAAGCTTTGGTCACCCAAAGGACAACGACAATTAAACAGCGGATGGGGAAAACGCGGACGAAAAACTGACATGTCGACCCACTTTTGCAAGGGCAAAATTGATATTCCATACTCTTTCTCGGGGCGTGCTATGCATCGACCAGGGTGGCACGCAGGATCGCGCCGACCAGCTTTCTCACCCCTCGTGTCCGCTTCTGTTCCGCGCATGGCCCACTTCCGCGTGTCCGCACGGCCCAATTCCCGCGTTTTCTGCTTTCGCTTCGCTGTTTAGCGCACGTCAGCTCTGGTTTGTCCAGAAAAAATAGAAGTGTCCTTGTTGCCTTCCGTGGCCTCTCTGTTGCCTATGCCTGACCAGTGACCACATCCCACAAATGCAGAGACGTGAGAAGAGGAGACAAACAAAACAGTAAGCACCAAGCGGTTGTTTGTTTCAAAATTGCTTGGCCTGATCCAGTTGTCCAAAAAATATATCATGGGTCACCTCATAGAATGGGGAAAAACTACATAACAGTAAAAACAAACATAACAGTAAAAACAAACAAGGAAAAAAGTCACATAACAATGGAAATAAAATAAAAGTATGAAATAAAAGAAAATAATAATTAAATGTAAATCAATGAAGGAAAAATAAAATATAATATGGAACAACGTATAAAAAAGAAACGTAACAAAAACACATACAACATCATATAGATACTACTAGAATAACCTAATATATACATAGAACATGCCACGAGTATACGTTGATACTCAAAGATCATCGTAGAACATCATATTTATATTGAGTGAACATCACAAAATACATCATAGAACATGATATGTATACTACGTGAAAATCACAACTAAACATAAGAAAAAACATAAATAATGAAAAAACATGTAATAGAGAAAAATAAAAAAACATAAGGTATTACTTGAACAATCTAAAAATATATCACAGAGCATCTAACAAGTATTATATGAATATACTCAAAGATAATCATGGAGGATCTCACATATACTATGAGAACATATCGTAGAACATTAAATGTATACTACACAAACTCCATATATATCTCATGAAAATGTAGAGATTAAAAGAGTAAAAACAACATGATAGGAAAAACAAACGAGTAAAAAGGAAAAGACAAACAAAAAAAGCCAAGTACCCGTGGAAATCAAATGAAAATATGAAAGAAATAATGAATAAAAAATAATAGTTAAATGTAAAAAAGTGGAAAGACAACATAAAATAGCATAGAATATCACATGTATACGTATCTCATAAAATATAGAAACATAAAAAAAAATAAGTATAATAAAATAAAAATGAGAAAAAAATAAAAATAAAACAATCCACATAAAATATAAGATAAAAGAGAAAGGAAAAAGAATAAAAGATAGACCGTGAAACATCATATTAATAATAAAAATACACCATATAGCATCTCAAGAACACACCATATATAGAGAAGTGAAAAATAAAAATAAAGAAAACAACTATTTAGCAAAAATAGAAAGTATAAGAAATAAAGAATAACACTACATAGAATAAAAAAATTAATAAATAAAAGAAAATAAAAAACATAAAGGGAAAATAATAAATAAAATGAATAGATGCTAAAAAGAATATAAAGAAAAAAGAAGAAGGAAAGGAAAAAAGATAAATCCGAACGTGTATGTGGACATGCTAGTCGTCATGTTCGTTTGGGCTGATTTGGCTTATAATCCATAGCTAAAAATATTATTAACTGATTTAGTGTGAAATAAAAATACTATTTATTGACCAATAAACCTTATAAGTCAGATACTACAGGCGAACACGCCGAATGACTGCTCGGCGCTGCCCGACGTGATGAGACCTGCGCGAGGTGCATGGGCTTGTTACGCATTAAAATCGACCCAATAAAATAATCTAGGAGAACTGGTCGGCGCGTGACTTCCTTCAGACTGGTCGGACCGGAAGATTAGCGCTATTTCTCCCCACTCCCTAGTACAAAATGAATGTTTTTATTTTTTTAGTGTCTCGGTGAGGTTTTATGATATTAAATAAGTTAACATGATATAGTATAATAAAAAATATAATAAAAATTTCATGACATAAAATAAGTTTGTCTAATACATGACAGTATTGAAAACTGGCACGTCACTAAAACTGGTCTAAAAAAGATCCCCTCTTGAGCTCGCTGCTGTAGGTAGCACCAGTGCCGGCCCTAGGGGGGGGCAGGCGGCGCGATGGCCGAGGGCCCAGGCAGGATGGGGCCCAAGCCCAAGTATATAAGACCCCATACCTTTTAGCTATAGTCCATTATAATTTAGGATTAATGAGAAGGTGCAGCAGCCAGCAGGCCATCAGCGTCGGCCTTTTTCTTTTCAGGAGGCGAGGAGCCGAGCCACCAACGCCGTAGCCCCGCACAGCGATCGCGACTTCCGCAGCCCCGCACAGCGATTGCGACCAGACTTCCGCAAACGGCGAGACGGCGAGACGCAACGTCGATCGGGCGATCACCACGCGACAAAGGTAGCCGAGGTACGATATCTGAGTATCTAATCTTGGTTGCCTTATGCCCTTTTTTGTGATTTGTGAATCTTGGTTCTGAATTCGTTCATGTCCAAATTGTCTAGGCCCTAATTTTTTTCCTTGTTCAATTTTTGTCTAGTACTTTGTACTCATATAGTCATGTTTTTTTCTTGTAATTTAGGTCAGGTGTAAGAATTTTAGAATATTACCTAAGAAACATTTGTCAGGGGCTGCGAAAAGAAAACGAAGAAGACAAGAAGAACAGTTGTTCAGTCACAACAAGGTGCTTTAGATAAGTTTTTTTTAGCTTCAAGTAGTGTTGTGTGTGATGACAACCCTATAGATATACCTGATAATCAAGAAGAAGAGTAACAACAAGTTAATGATAATTTAAGTCTATGTTGTTTCTAGCTCTCGATAATTATCAGACATGTTAAATTAAAAATATATTATTGGATTTGCTTTTCCTTTACAAGTAAAATTAGTCTATATATTATAAAATTTTATGGTCTAGAGAGCCGTCGCGATGAGTCCGTCGAAGGGCCCTCAAAATCATAGGACCGGTGCTAGTAGCACCTTGGCATGATGGCATCTGTGGAGCAACAACAACACGGTGTAGCAGGACTGATCAGGGCTGATGTCTTGCTACAAATTTAATCGGTTCGGTCTTTCTATGCGCTCATAAGACCTCGTACGTGTAAATGAATGTATACGTGGGCATTGGGAAAAAAGGAGAACGTATGTCGAATTGTCGATACAGGCCCTGTTTGCTTCGCTAAAAAAAGGTGAAATATTGTTCCAGCTGATTTGTTGTGAGAGAAAAATACTATTTCAATTAAAAAAATAAGCTGAAAAAGATAAATTATAAGAGAAACGAAGATGGCACAGAGATCTCGTTGCAAGTTCTTTCCGGTGTTTTTCTTTTTAAAACTGATGAGCCGATGGACCAAACAAGCTGCTCCTCGTCACTCGTGAGGCAACAGCCCAACAGGGCAGTATATGCCCTCCAACGCCAAACCGAGCAACTGACCGTCTTCTCTCTTCGTGACCTCTCTTTCCGACCAATGGTGGCAGGTGACATAGGTGGCAGGCCGCCCCTCCCTCCCCTCTCTTCTATCACTCTCCCTCCCGAAATCTTCAGATGCGCATACGATAATAATACTACTCAGGTGTTTGTCCCGTGTTGGACGCTGCTAGCTGGCCCTGCGGGACTAGCCCACGGTTGCTCCCGGCCCACATACAGAAATAAAATAGAGAGCGACGCATCGTTTCTCATTCCGCATCGCCGCTGCGAGCGCCTCCCGCGCACCGCCACCGTTAGCTCGCTTCTTCTCCGCCGCTGCGGCCACGACCCTCTCCCCCACTCCATGGTGGCCGCTCCCCCAACTCCATAGCGGCTCGAGCAAGCCTTCTCCCCTCCCCTTCATAGATCCAGCCACCCTTCCTCCACGTGTGTCTTTCCTCACGTCCGGCGGCCTTCCATGGCGTCCCCCTCCCCCACTTCATGGCGGCTGCGCCCCTCCCCCGTGTCCCACCAGATCTAGCCCTCCCCTACCCCGGCTAGCGGCGCCGTCCCCAGATCCGGCAACGTCTCCTCTCCCTCAGTCGATGGCGGGCATGGCGAGGGCGTGCAGGCGCGCACCATCCACCGAGCCTGCGCCACCGCAATTGGCCACCAGGTAGGTCATGGCCGCGCGGCGATGCTGTATTTCAAGTGTTTTTGGATGCTTTATAGACATGTTGCAATCTCATGTTTCGGGTGTTTTAGTTGTTTCAGATGTATGTTTCAATTGTTTCATGCGGATGTTGCATATGTTGCAATGGTTGTACACGTATGTTTCAAACGTCTATCCATAATGTTTTATCTGTTTTTTGTACACGTATGTTGCAAGTGTTTAAGACGCATGTCTGTCTTCTTTTGTATGTTGTAAGTGTTGCATCTGGATGTTTCAAAAGTAGATCGGGATGTTGCACATGTTGCAATAGTGTTTCAACTGTATGTTCTAAATGTTTCATCTATTTTAGACGTATGTTATAAAGTTTTTATCTGGATGTTATAAAAGTAGACAAAGTGTTGCATGGCGCGGTCGGTAGTTGTCGCTGCAGCTGGGGTACAGCCATGCGCCAACCGGCGTGGGTTTCCCGGGGCGCGGGATGGGTTCGAGGACGTGAGTCCCTACGACAAACGTGAGCGCAGGGGGGGGGGTCGAGCCGTTGCTCGAGTGGCAAACGCTGGTGGTGGTGCAACGGCCGGTCGTGGGTTCGAGCTCTGCTCGACTCACGATCCCCACCGGGGTTTTTCCTCATTTTTAATAGGTGCAGCCTCTCTCGTGTGAAGCTACAAAAGGATAGCGGCGCACCCGTCGCTTATAGAGTCTTGGATGGTTTCGGTGATCTCCTTAAGGACGCGATCTTGAAATCTAGGTGTAGTTGTAGGGTCTGTTTGTGTATATAAGGTGTGTGTGAGTGTGTGGTGTTAATGTGCAGTTGTACGTAGACGAGAGGGGAAAAAACGTGAGCGCGGGGTGCTGACTCGAGATGCGGGGTGTTGGACGGGATGCGAAGACGGGAGCAGCAGAGATAGACAATGGATACAGACGGAATTGATTAATTAATTAATGGCAGTCCAGCAGCGGCGTGTGTAGGGGCAGGCATGTGCGGACGTTCGGACGGGGCGGGCCAGCGTCTAGATGTCCGGCCGCTAGGCACGCCGGATGCGCCCACAAGGTCTCGTTCGTCGGAATGGCCCATTCTGGAGCCCATTCCAAATGGATCAGAGCGGCCCGTTTCGAAGCCAGGTGGTGAATTGGAAGGCCTGTTCGTTTCGGCCTAACTTTGCTGCTGGATTGGAGTGGAGGGGCGCAAGAGGCGACGAGGCGACGGCGCGGCACAGCACCGACTGCGACCATCTCCCACCCAACGTCCGCCCTCTCCCCCGCCTTCTCACCAGTAAGGCGCCGCCCTCTCTTCCTTCCCTCTTCGGTCCTCGCGTTTCCTGTTCTTGAGGTCCGCCTGGAACTGGGTCTGGGATCGGGATCGGGCCATGCGGGGAGCGGAGTCAGCGGCGGCGGCGGCGGCATGCCGTCGGCTAGGCTCCTGGCGGCGCGGCGAGGATTCGATGCAGTTTTTTGGTTGGTGGGGAAGGGTGGCCTGGCAGATTGCACGGACGTGCTCAGGGTGACCGTTCCCAAGATCAAGGACGAGGAGCGCAAGGACGTGTTCGAGATCAAGATCGAGTAGGGGGTGGGAATCGAATGGGTCCTCCGAGGTCTCCTGGTTGCGGTCCATATCGTAGTTGCAGTGAGCAGTCGTACTAGTAGAGTAGTAGTAGTAGTTTTAATTACTGGAGCAGTCGTTTCTGATGCAGAGCAGCATGGCTGCGAACGAGAAGGATTTTTGGTGGTGGTGGTGTCTCGTGCCTGATGTGAGGCATCCATGTAGCTTCCGGACTGCTGTAGCTTGGATGCTTCATCTGATTTTTTTGGGGGAATAGAGAACAGAGGGAGAAGTGTGAGCTGCTACTTCTGGCCTGATGTTGATCTGCTCGTGATGAATAACTAGCACAGAGAAAGAGAGAAATTTGCCCAGGTGCAGATGGGTGTAGGGAGGTGCTAGCTGCTGTGCTCATGTGGAAGTAAGTGGAGAAGGAATAATTGATAGAGGTATATGTTTGCTGCTTGCTTGTTTAGTGCTTAGTTGGGACCATTTTGGTAGTTGTTTCCATCGATTTAGATGGTAAGAGAACGGAAAATTGATTTTGGCTAGATGGCTAAAAAATGGAAAAATGATCAAAGAAAGTGGATGTGAACTGATTTTTCCTCTGCTAGTGAATTGGATCTGAAGTTGTTTTATGCTATTAATGATCTTATTACAAAATTTACTGAAATGTCTCACGTATAAATATTGGGTGTCCAGTCGTTTTCTTGCATTGTCTTCAAATTGACATGGGCGTTCAGGCTGCAAAGATGCAGTGTCTTATTGTGCCGTGATATGTTGGCTTGTGTCTTATTCACATGGTGCTTCTATGATGGCCATCATTGGATTTTGACTGGTGCCATTGGCGATGTATTAGCAATAGCAATCTGTCTCATATGTTCTGCTATATATATCTTAGCAAGTAGAAGTTCAGCAGTTGTATAACCCTACAGTTTACAACTGTTGAACTGGTGCCACTGGCCATCATTGGATTTTTTTCCCTGCAGTTTTAGTCTCTGCTGTGATATCTCGTTGCTTTGGGACCAAAACAGGTGCAGCATAAGAATGTTCTTTTTAGAGACTAATAATTTAGGGAGTTTGGTCCCCACCTAGATCATTGTTATGATAATGTATATTCCAATAATTTTTCTCCAAATCTTAGCAATTTTGCACTATCATCTTTCGAGACCACTCAGAGTTTGATCCTGAGAAAATAGGAATATGAATTCCTGTTGATCCTTGCTTTGCATATTGACTTATATGTGCTTTGCAAGGCTTCTCAATCAGAGATCTCACTCGATTGTATCGGAGGTGAAAGGATTTGCTAACTAATGAGCACCACATCTGGTCATGTTCGTTTTTAATCCATGCCGGCCTTATTAGCACACAGTGTGAGTTTAAATTTCTTGGCAATAGATGGCCATGTGCATTCTAGCAACTGAGACTGAGAGCTTGGTTTTTGGTTTCGTGCACTGCTCATTATTCTGCATCTAGCAATGCATAACTGATGGGAAAGAACTAAAGATATATTAACCTGGACATTCTTTTTGTTTCCTTACTGTCTAGTAGTATCATTGCATAGTATCATATTTCTATTTCCTTGCATAGTATCATATTTCTATTTCCTTGCATAGTATCATTTTCTAGATTTGTCACTGTTCCTGATTATGAATCCAAATACTATTGTCATGCCACTGGAACTGATGTTGAACCTTTTGTCTACTAGGCTTGAGTGTGCAGGAGGTCTAAGGAGTCTTCACATATTTATCAAGATCAATAGATAACCTAGAGTGCTTGTAACTTCTATGAGAGATTTATGCTTCTGCCAGTTCAAACTCTATTTTGTCTTGATCAAGACTGAAAGACTGAAAGGATGTTGCTATTTTTTATTGATCAAGACTCTATTTTTGTTTGCTACTTGTCTGCTACTTCTCCCTCATTTCAGTCCCTTGCTTTTCATGCATGTAGATAAATGTTTACTGTCAAGTTGCTGTCAAACAAGCTGTCAAGCTGCTGTCAAACAAGTGACCTTGATTTGCTGTCAAACAAGCGTTTACGTCAAGTTGCTAATGTTTTCATTCCTGGCTGAAACGAATGGGCCTCATGTTGTAGAGTTTTGATTCCTGAGCCAGATCCATTGGTGACCAGGTTTTAGTGAACCACCAGGATCCACTCGATCCGGCCCAGGAAGAGAAACAAGCCTTGTTTTCAACCTGGAACAACCGAACAAGGCCTAAAACCTCGCTCCCCCTTTGGTTTTGTGCCACGTGACAGGATCTGTTCCGCGGTGGCGACGCCGAACACCACACGTATGGACGGCAGCGGCAGTGACCTGCGGAGCACCATCAAGAAGTGGAACGTCATCTACCCTGTCTACCTCAACTCCAAGAAGACGGTCGCCGAGGGCCGCTGCATCGCCACCGCCAAGGCCTGCCCGGACCCCACCTGCATCGAGATCGCTGACTGCTGTTCGCACCTCAAGATCCCCCACGCTATCGAGGTACCCACCCTGATTCCTTCTCCGATTGTTTCCTTTTCCAGTTCAGGATTGACAGTATCGTTTGTTTGCACATCTGACTGATGGGCCAATTGTTGCTATGCGTAGTTGGATAAGGCGTACCCAAGGGATTTCTTCCAGGTGGGGAGGGTCAGGGTGCAGCTCAAGAAAGATGACGGCTCCCCCGTCAATCCTGCTATTAAAACAAGTAAGTGCCTGAACTGCATACTTGCTTTCACCTAAGCTGAATTTAGAATGGGACTGCATACATATTATACTCTATTCCGAAGAATGTGTTCAAGATATCATGAATTGCTAGCGATTCATCTGGGTAAGTATGCAAGCGTTTCCTTCGCGTAAATATCATATAGTTTTTGCTTATTGATGATCGCATCTAGGAAGGAAGGCGGCAAACTGGTACTGTTAGTGGGTTGTAGTTAAGCCTGGGAATGAGTCGTGGCCCACCCCTAATCCAACCGCAACTCTATTTTTTAGATGGGATGGCCTGATCCTGATCCAATCCACTGGCAGCTTTATATCCTAATCCAGCTTGGCCCCTTGAGAATGAAATCTCACTCCTATCCTGATCCTAATTAAATCCTAGGCCCAAATCTGTTACTGTTTGCACAACTCAGCCCTTGGGCCCTGCGCAGGCTACAACTTGCATGCTTGCATGTACACAGAAATACAATGCTTGCATTGTTTGCATGTACACAGAAATACAATGCTTGCACGTTTGCATGTACACAGAACATTTGCAGTCTGAATCCTGACAGAAGTAGTGTCGGATATCTATACCCAGGTATTCGAGCCAAAAGATTAATGAGCTTCACGTCGCCTCATCCGATGGTTAAGGACGCAACTGCGGCCTCGTCCGCCCCCCAGGGGCCGGGTGGGGCCTCGTCCAACTCCGAGGACGTGGTTTCCGCCTCGTCCGACCCCACGGGCCGGGCGGGGCCTCGTCCAACTCCGAGGATGAAGTTTCCGCCTCGTCCGACCCCAAGGGCTGGGCCACGCCTCGTCCAACTCCGAGGACGAGGTTTCCGCCTCGTCCGACCCCCAAGGGCCGGGCCACACCTCGTCCAACCTCGAGGACGAGGTTTCCGCCTCGTCCGACCCCAAGGCGTGGGTTCCGACTCGTCCGGTCCCACAGGAAGGGCTCCGCCTCGTCCGACCACCGAGGGTCGGATTCCGTCTCGCCCGGCCCCCAGGGCGAAATTTCCGCCTCGCCCGTTCCCTGGGAGTCGGATTTGCTAACGGACAAAAGCAGTGGCCTCGGGGTAGGACCTGAACCGCTTCAACCACTACGGCATGGAGGCGCACGCCCGGGAGCACGTCTCGGACGCGACCGATGCGACTAAGCGGTTGCATCGAGCCATCTTTGGGAGACTCACGTCGCCCCCCGTCAACAAGCCAACCTTTGTCATTGCGCCAACTCCCGCTCGACCACCGCCCAACGTCGGTCGACCGGCGTCGGTGGATGGCCTGCATGCATTAGCCCTCAGATGGCCTTTGTCAGGGACCCTTTGACCATTCCGTCCGCTCGGATGAGATGGAAGACAAGAACGACGATAGCGCTTTGCATGCATGCTGCGGCCAAGCAGACTTCGAGATTGTCAGTTGCTACTACGATCTCTCTGGAGTCACGGGACCAAGCTGAAGAGGAGAACGGCACACCTCCGGGAGCCTATTTTCTCTTTCCCTCTTCCCTTCGGTTGTAACCCCTGCTTTCCCTTAGGCTATAAAAGGGAAAGCAGGGCGTCCCACTAGGGGACATCGAACAAGTGCATCACATAGCACCGGTTCACCGCACCTCATCACGAATAACACATCACCAGAGACTTGGGACCAGTCCATCTCTCGCCAGTTTGTAACCCCCTACTACGAACTTTCAGTGCTAAGTAATACAAACAGTAGCCAAGAACTGGACGTAGGGACATTTTGCCCGAACCAGTATAAGCCTTGTGTCTTCTTAGCACACCATCCGGGCCAGACGCGTAATATACAAATTTACTCGTTGGTGTTTACTCAAAACACCGACAAGTAGCATGTTGGATGTGTTTCATAGTACACAGAAGTAGCTAAAAGGATTAATTAAGTAGCTTAAAGGATTAATTAGGATTGAGCATGAATCAACATGCTAAAACAAATTACAAATTTCTGGCCATACGATCTGGATGAATCCAACAAGAACAATAAAAGTTGATTATTATGACTTGCAAACATTATGCAAAGGTTCAGTGATCAGTGAGCCTGCGCCGCACATCAGAGATCAATGAGCTCTTGCTAGCAACAACAATCAGCCATGAACCCACAATCTGCAAAGACACCAAGCACAAAACTCATAAACTTGTTACTTCCAAAGATCAATGAATGGACTTGGGATGTCAACTGCAGCTATGCTAAAACTTCATGCTTCATCAACTATATGACTAGGCAGAGGCACCAGTGAAAAAAAAGAACTCCATGCTTCATGTGCATAGTAGGTAGTAGGTACTGTGCTACAGCTATAGTTTCAAATCCATGTCAACTCATAATAAAATTTCCCAGGCATCAATCAATATATGTAAATGTGGAAAGTGGGTGGTGTGTTCCTTTAACTAGATAAGACCTAACTTGATAAGGGCTCACTCAAATTTGGGCCAGCTGAGCCAATTTCAGTTTCACGCTTCAATAACTCAAAATTATAAAGATGTGCCCCCATATGCCAAGTTGAGCTTTGTCAGTTGGGTGTATAGACAAAAATTTCAGATAATTGTTTTCGGGCTTTAACTAATACATATAGCAGAAAATGTAATAATAACTTCTCTGAATAAATGCACAAAAGATTAAACCACAAAAGTTTGCACCTGAACTATCTTGTAGAGACATGGACACTGCCCTGGGCTTCAGCAGGGGCTTAGAACTGAACCAGAAAGCGTGGCCAGGCAACCAGCAGGGGCTTAGAACTGAACTTCAAGAACATTTTTAAAACACTAGAGAATATATATTCTGTATGATTTAGCATTATTTGCTGATTATTCTTAGTGTATATAATCCATCCAAAATTCCCCTGCATCAACATGTAAAACTAATGACTCTTGCAATATCCATATTACTACTTAACATATGGTGTTTGTATATGTTCCCTTGTGTTTCTAAATTTCTGTTTAAAACTCTCTTAATTTCACTAAACATTCAATGCAAATCTCAATTGGGCAGAACACATTTTATCTATATGGTGTTTGTATATCAGCAGACTGTTGTAGTTCATTATGAATGGCTTGCTATATCAGCAGACTGTTCTAGTTCATTATGTATATCAGCAGACTTTTCAAGTTCGTACTTTTGAGTGAAGAACCTGGCCGTTATATGTAGCATCCATTATATATTAAAATAAAATGGACCAACAATGCAAGAAGGAATCTGTAGCAACCAAGGTGATGGCTCCCTAGCGGCCGGCCTCTCTGGAGCGGTAGGATCGATCGGACAGTGAGGCACAACTGGCAGCGGAGTTGTGGGCGTAGGAGAACCTTGGACTTCTTCTTCTTGCTCTTGGAGAACGAGGAGGGCTTCTTCTTCTTCTTCATGGAAGGCGTGGGCGCGGAGACCTCGGCGGGCCTGGCGGCGGAGAGGCGCACCGGACGACGGATCTTGGCGATGGATGGAGAAGCGATGGGGCCTGAGGAACTGATGCCCTCAAGCTCCTAATATTGCTGTACTGCTGTGCGAGCAATCAGTAGACCAGTCTTTGTTAAGTACAGTTGTGTGAATGATTGGTGGAATGTTTTTTCATTACCTGTGTTTATGGTGACTTAGCTACATCTATCTTCTATCACCTAGAGGGGGTTTATGCTGAGCTAAATAGAGGTGTTTAAGGACTACAAGAAAGACTTTAAGGGCTCGCACTGATATGATGCTTTATTCCAAATTGCATACCTTGAAATTTGATGCCATATTTATTTTGCTTTAGCATGTCCTTATTTTTTCATTTTGTAAAAATGAAGTATGAAACTCTGCAGCTTCCAGTTGTAGATGTGGGAGTCCACCATTAGTTAATTTATTTATGGGCTTCCCATATTACAGAGAAGCAGCTGATGATCCAAATAGCAGAGCTAGTTCCCAAGCATCACGGAAGGACAAAGAAGCAGGAATCAGCGCCCAGTTCTTCAGCCGGTGGCAGTTCAAAGAACACAAAAGGCGGGAAAAAGAAAAAGTGATGACATTATCATTTTTTTTTTCTGTTCGTCCTCATACTAAGCTTCTGTGGAAGTTGTCTTTCTTAGGCCTGAAAATCATTGTGACTTTTGGTGGGATTTTTTTTTTCCTGCTAGTGAATTGGATCTGAACTTGTTTTATGCTATTAATGATCTTATTACAAAATTTACTGAAATGTCACACGTATAAATATTGGGTGTCCTGTCGTTTTCTTGCATTGTCTTCGAATTGACATGGGCGTTCAGGCTGCAAAGATGCAGTGTCTTATTGGCCGTGATATGTTGGCTTGTGTTTGTGTCTTATTCACATGGTGCTTCTGTGATGGCCATCATTGGATTTTGACTGGTGCCATTGGTGATGTATTAGCAATAGCCCGTTCGGCTTACCTTATATTTCGACTTATTCGGCTTCTTTTTTTTTTTCAGTCAGAACAGTGTTTTTCTCTCACAACAATTCAGCAGGAACAGTGTTTTCAGCTAATTTCAGCCAAGCGAACGGTGTTTTTCTGCCTCATTGGTTCTGCTATATATATGTTAGCAAGTAGAAGTTCAGCAGTTGTATAACCCTACAGTTTACAACTGCTGAACTGGTGCCATTGGCCACATCACTAGATTATTTCCCTGCAGTTCGTCTCTGCTGTGATATCTCGTTGCTTTGGGACCAAAACAGGTGCAGCATAGGATATGTTCCTCAATGTACTGATTGGTCCATTCCTACCTCCAATTTACTCTTATGTTCTTTTTAGATTTGATGTCAAAGATGCATGATTTGACATGAATCTGACCTGGTAGGGAGCGTATCACCTGTTCTCTTATCATGTTGGATTGTTAATATGGAACATGACACCTATTTGTGTATGCTGAATTCGAGGCTGGAACCTATTTCATTATTCTCTTGCCAAGAAGTGATATTTACTCCAACTTGCTAAGAAATTATTCGGAAACTAATGCCAAATTATAAAGCTAGTAAAAAAAATCAGTGCATATACTATCTGGAAAGAGAAGTATATTACTACTGTAGACGACTAGCAGCAGCTGTGTTGCCCAAGTGTGGCACTGGCAGCTGCTGTGGATCACTCACTGTGCACGGCCGCCTTTTGTTTCTGCTGTGGGTAGGGCTAGATGTTGAGCCAGTTTGGCTCGTTATTGAGCTGACTCGGCTCGGCTTATTATACTAACTAGCTAGAATGTTAGCTTAGCTCGACTCGTCTGTTAGCTTGAGTCGTTTGGC